TCTGTTTCGTTGATACTCATAAATAAAAGAGTAGGAGCAGTTATGAGAGTTTGATTACACAGTGCTGACCAAGCCTCCAATGTGACAAGATAGAATGAAAAATATCCCCATTTGTAAGATACATTCTGTAGCTGGTGTGCACATTTCATATTAAAATGCTGTCGATGTTTATCTTGAGATGTATATATAATTTTTAAATTCAAATGCCTAGAGCACAAATTATTATTATTATGACACAATGTCTGATAAGATAATTAAATTCATGTAGAACGTAACCTGGCTTTATCAGGAAGTGTGTTCCAGCTACATTTTGTGCGCAAGCTGCTGAGGAGCAAAACTGTTCTGTCATCTCTATGAACCACATGATTTTCTCATTTCAAAGACAATTTAGTCATCAAGTGTCCATGGCAAAAACCAAACATATCAGAGAATCCAGCAGAATTGGAGAGAAATCATATAGAATTGAAACAGTGTTGTTATTAAGTAATATCTGGAATGCAACCTCAAATGAAATGCAAGCTAAAATATGTTAGCTCCCAAATTCAATTCATTCTTACTGGGAGAAATTTGTCTTTGTTAGCAATATTGCCTGAAGACCTTCAGGGGCCCAGTGGTTCACTAAAGATCAGAATAAAACCTCACAAATTTTTCTTCTTGTGTAAGGAAACCTAGGTTCTAGATGCCAAGCCATTAATAGTGCCATTGTCAAACTGAGACTCCATGCCACATTTTTCATACAACACCATAAAGGAAGTCAACTTGATTAGCACTTCCTGATTAATTGGAAGTTTGATCATATTCTTTCTTGGATTCTATCACATTCATTCATAATCTTTGTATTTTTTTCCCATTTTCTCTTTGCTTTTCTTTTGTACTGGGAATTAAACTCATGACTTATCACCATTTTTTAATTTTATATAAGTATTTTGAGACAGGGTCTCACTAAGTCTCCAGTTTCCCTACTCTTGGTCTGAATGTTTTGTTCTCCTGACTCAGCCCCTAAAAGTGCAGAGATTATAGGAATGCACCAACACACTTAGCTAACTTGTATTATTTCAGTGTTAAAATGACCATTTGGAAGAAAACATAGATCTAGTAAAGTTTACTATTAGGAATATTTGCTCTTTCAAGATCCCTCATTTCAAAGTCTATCGTAGACCTAGTCACTGCTTGTCAAATTCACATAAGATTTCAAGCAAAGCCAGTTATGTCATAGTGACCAGTTATGCCACAGTTATTCACCAGTGAATCACCAGAGAGTTAGCACAAAGAACCGCAGCACAGAAACTGGAGGAACTAGAAGACAAAGAGGAGGAAAAGGCATTCACATCTCTTTGTGTCAGTCAGTCGGCACACATTTTGGAGAGGGTGTAAAGTTCTATTTGTTCTCATTTCCAATTGTCTAACCAGGTGTTTACAGAACACCTCTGCTGCACTAATACCAGTTATCATCTCTGAGCAAACATGATAATTGTGTGCCACTCACTTCTAGAAGTCCACTTCCTGTTCACGATACTATCTGTACTTTGTAAATTTAAGATAGGAAAAATTAGACCTGTTATGCAGTGTCTAAATCTTGGGAATGAGTAAAAACAGGGCTGTATGCTGGGAATGATTCACTAGTAAAATGTTCCTTCCTGAATTACCACTATCGTTCTTCCCTAGTCCTGTATCACTGACCTACAGAAAAAGTCCGGGCTTTTCCTATAGGTGCAATTTGATTTAAAGTTGATAATTTACATGTTGGGCAGATCCCAACTGAGTTCTGACTGTGTGCAGAAAAGTTGTCTTCTGGTCCCTGGCATACAGTAGTAACCTAGACAGACCAAGTCCTTTACCTTCTGTGATTTCTCCATGCATATTGGGGGATAGAAAATGAGTTAAAAAGTAAGAGGCGGGATAATTTTTGACTTGTCACAGTTATGAAAGAAACAATAGAAACATAATATAAACTGAATGTGGGGATTCAGCACCATAACTGATCAGGAATAGGCTTTCCATTTAATTTAAGGGTCTCAACTGTGAGTATCTTCAGAGTGGTCACAGGACAGGACTCCTTGAGACCCCAGATAAAGGTTTCGTGCCACAGGACAAGACAATTTTGTTCTTAATTAATGGCCAAACTTCATAGAGTCTAATATAAAGTAATATAATATAATATGAAAGCACCCCAAAGAGAAAGGTGGGCAGCTATTGGAGACAGAAGCAACATGGAGATTTAGTTCCTTGACTGATTGTTCGCACTTTCAAGGGACAGCAGTAGGGAACTGCACCTTATTTCTTGGAGGATGCCATTTGTGGCAGTGAGGGCTTCTGGTGTGCCCTGCACTCCCACAAAATGAAGCTGTTTACTCACCCTGGAGGAACAGGGTTGACGCAATTAAATCCATAATCATTAGCAGCCAGATCACCACCTCTAGTTGACTTTGCTTTTGACATTTTCCTCCAACAACTGGTTCAATGGTCCATCAAATTTGACCTTCATAAGCAGAATTTTTCTTATTTAAGTAAATCCTTTCATGGTCAAAAGAAACTTTTGTGACTTCATAGCCTCCTCCCCTCTTATTGCCCAATAAAATGGGATGAGGGAAATTTGTATTTGGTGCAGCCACTGTGTAAGACTGCACCAAATACTGATGGAAAAAATTATTCTATGTATGTTTTCAGCTCCAAGTAACACAATGCCTGGGACCATGTATTTCTTATTATCTTACAAGTTTAACTTTCACGGATCCTACCATTATGATGGTCTTTCAAAATCAAAGGCTGCAAGCTATGGATAAAATGGCTTCTTTCTTTAAGGCAATTACAGCTTAGTTGAAGAAAAAGCTCCACGATTATCATAGAAGTATGAGACAGTACAAAATTAGGCTGCATGGTGAGCCACAGAGCAAGCAGACTGTAGTGGTTAAGAGGCCCTGCAGAGAAGACTGGGGTCAGCAAGCAGTGCTTGATGGAAGAAGTAGGGTTGCGAGAGTGGGGAGGATTTGGAGAGGAAGAGTTTGGAGTATTTTGAGTGAGTAGAATAAAAGATCATGCCAAGACCTGGATCTGGACCAAAGCATTTTCCTGGGACTGGGTGGGGATACGAACACACACAGCTGTAGTTCATTTGGGGAGCAGCTGGGAAATGGCCAGATGAATATTGCACCATGTTGTCATAGGCACAGCAAGTTTTGTGAGTTACAGATGTCTGCTGAGGAATTTTGTAAGAGTTTGACTCACACTGAACCTCTACCCTCCTCAGTGAACCTAGGCACATTTTTGGTGATTTGTAAATATTTGTATTAGTTGTACCTTGAACAGTGTCAGGATGGCTCATAGGGGATATGTGTGAATTTGAACATAAAGACTGCCTGGAAGCATCATCCCTCAAAAAAAGTCATCGCAAGGTCATAAAAACATTATCCTAGAGAAAAATCTCAAGGCTTAGTAAGTACACATCCTTCAGTTGATAAACTCTTCAGAGAAAAATAATTTTCATTGTTACTATTCACACAGTTTACTCTTGGTATTTTTTTAAGGCAAGATAAGGATCTGAGAAAAGTTAAAATTCTTATATTTTATGCTTCTTGTAATTATATTTACATTTTCATTGTTTTTAAATCTACAATCTTGTATCTATTGGAGTCATTAGTAGAAATGTCATCTCTCCTAATGTTTGTTCATCATGGTCACTCAATCCAAAGTTCGACTTCAGTTATGGATTAACTCCACCAGGAAATATTTTTATACGAATGCATACTTTTGAAAACAATAGGCTCCTTTTTCTCTTATGGTCTGAGTCATTCAAGAATGAGAGCTTTTGATAATTCTGCAAACACACAAATCTGAGTCAGCCTTGAACCTTCGAGAGAAAATTGGCATGGCCCATCCATTTGGGTTAATGGCTCAAGTAAGGAACAGGAATCCATTTTTAAATGAAAATGAATGTGAGTAGGTCCTCTCATGGCCAAAGACATTGCTGCTTACTTTCTAGGCATTGAATCTATAGGATCCACATCTCCCAGTCCAACAAAAAAGGCAGTTTTGAGCAATCCTAACACAGCCTCCTTCCTTAAGCCACTACACACTGGTTGGCAGCAAATGTTCACACTGAACGTTGGGACATGCAAAGAGACCTTCCTTTGTAGTTTTGGTGATAGATTTCTCCAAAATATTTTAGAGTTTCAGAAGAACTTCACACCTAAACAGTACAGAGGGTTTTAGAACTTTCTCATATCCCAGTTTTTATCAGTATGCCCCTGATATATCTGAAACATATCAGAATCAGATGCTCAGGACTCTTTACACACTTCATCTTGCAAACTGGATCATCATAGTGGGTTAAGACCTTTTTAGATTCAGAGAACAGTAGGGCAATTTTATTCTTAAGAGAAAAGCACAATTCACTACCATTCATGTTGATATAATCATAAAAAGTATAGGTGTTTCAGTTTAATTCTTTTTTGAAGATTTCATTTTTATTGTACATTGAGAGTAAAATAATGCTTCTAGAACAGTATTAGATTTTGCTAATGAATATTGAATTTTTATAACGATGCCTAGAATATTGTTAATAAATATGTTTCTGATAATGGAAATGATATTCCCCTAATTTTTACAGCTGCATCCTTTTCCATCTTTCAGGATCCACAGACATGTTTCCATATGAGAACAGAAAAACTATATGGGACAGAAAGAATGCATTTCTTAGCAGAGATTTTGCCATGCAATGTGATATTTTCAGGTATCTTGGTTAGGATCAGGGATGGAGTAGAAGCTGTTTTGACCCTTGTGGAGCCATGTGCGTCTGACAGGCAGTGAGTTCTTTGATTATAACTCCTGCCATTCATTCGTCAGCAGTTCACAAAAATATTCTCAGATAAAGTGCACTAATATTATTTTCTGTGAACTTGGAACTACAGACTGCACCAGACAGGATCTCAAATGAACTGGGAGCTTCTTGAGGCTGTAAAATAATTTACGTATCTTTCTTTCCTCTCCCCGATTTTCTACAGGTTAACCTCAGAGCTACAGATGTCAAGCTCATGCGGCAGCTGCTTGTTATCAATGAGAGTATCGAGTCCATCAAGTGGATGATTGAAGAGAAAGCCACTATTACCAGTCGAGGCAGCAGTCTCAGCGGCAGCCTGTGTAGCTTGCTGGAGAGTCAGAGCACCTCCTTACGTGGCAGCTACAACAGCCTGCAGGATGGCAGTGATGGGCTAGATGGCATCTCTGTGGGAAGCTACCTGGACACTTTGGCAGACGATGTCCCGGGACATCAGACCCCTTCAGACTTGGATCAGTTCAGTGACAGCTCCATAATAGAGGATTCACAAGCACTACACAAGCACCCCAAATTGGATGCTGAGTACTACTGCTTTGGCTAATGATCAGGTTTTCACATGGGACTGTTGTGCAAACTTGCATCTATCCTTCTCTGCTGCTATATTTTTGGTGTTTGTTTTTAAAAAAGAAAATCTTTTTGAAGAAGCTTATTTTTGAACTGCGTCATAGTCTTTCTTTTGCTCCTAATATTTCTCACCTAGATTGATTTATTTTTCTCTGTTACAGCTCTATTTTTATTTATTACAGTAATTTCCCCCCTTTTACTGTAGCACAAAGAAAGTAGGGGGGAAAGAATAAGCAATAAGTCTGTTTTTGCTTTTCTTTTCAGAGCAAGGGGTCAGGGATTATAAGAAATAATTCGCTAAATTTTACAATAAACCAAAGTCTGATAACTGTTAAGTCTGTTGCTTGTGTTCCTAAATGCTTTAAAATTTTATTTCCTAACTATAACAAAATATTTCATTATTTCTCTATTATGTTGAATAAAATGCTTAAAACAAAATTACCCTTATTTTGAGGCCACAATATCTGAATGTGTAGTCAGAAGTACTGTTAGTCACATACTTTTATTTGACCCTATTTGAAAGACCCTAAATATAAGTAATTTGTTTAACTCACTTGGTATTGATACTGTAGATTAGCATTATGTCAATACCAATTTTAATTTAAATCTTAGATTTAGTTATGTGATAATATACAGTATATGCCATTCTACCAAATTTCAAAGAATAATTGAGATTAATTATAAAGATGATTAGAGAAAAAGATGCCCCAAACTTTATTTAGAGATTTTGTTGGCATTTTCTTATATGAATTTGCCATTTTGATAGAATACATAAATGCATAGATGCACACATACAAATGGAGAGATAAACTGATACACAGATATTCTTATAGAAAGAAGCAAAATCACTCATTTATGAAATTCAGTGTGATATCTTTAAACTTGGTATAAGCAAGTAATCTTTTAATGTAAACCCAAATAATGAGTTTAGTCATCTAAGTATTGTATTCTTTTTCTTAGTTTTCCTCACAATCCAAAAGTTGTATTTGTAATCCCATTGAGACATCATTAGAATCCCAGCAAGTTAATTTTACTTTACCACCACCAATGCAATCCTGGCAAGAGTAAAAACACCAAGACATATTTCAAGTTAAGGACAGCTAAGGGATCCTAAGTCTAATCCCTGTGAGGACATGTGGACAAAGGCCCTGATCTTAGGCCTCTCCCAGAATTTATTATCTTATGAAGAAGGGGGGTGGCTCAGGGATGAGTGACAGTGAGGATGGCGAGAACTACATGAGTCACTTGAGCTGGCTGGCCAGGTGAGAGAAGGGCACCTCTGTAAATTACAGAAATGAAGATGCGCAGAAAGATCAATTTATATAATCTAATTAAGGTAGCAACTGAATTTTTTGGGAGTTGTTGCTTTGGTTTTTGATATGTAGACTCTTGTGCCCTGGAGTTATAGCCCTTTATCTTGAGGCTTATACCCAGTTGACAAATTTTTGGAGCTGACTGGCTCTAAACATCCCGCTGTGCTCATATCTGGGTATAGAGAACACTGTGTGAGGAAATAGGACTATCTGTTGGCTTTAGAATTTACATACCAGCACCTCTGCTAGCCTTATTTGTATTGTTTAAAGCCAATTGAAGAGAGCAGGGAAATGCCCTAGCCAGCTGTCTACATATCAGTATAAGGAAATAAGTCTCAAAATAACTAAGTAATTGTTTTGCATTCAAGGGGAGTCACTGGAGTTAGCTCCCACATCTCTCCCTTTCTTGTTTTGTAGCTCCAGCAGGGCCAGTTGTGGTTGCATGGCCTGTAGTCATCTTTGGGTAATGAATCCTCTAAGTCAGAATTTCATGAGAAAAATTACAAAGAATAGAATGAGCACACCAATTCTGATATAAAACCAAAAGTGAGCCCTGAGGTATACCAGTGGATTTAATTGTTCTATGGCATCAGCAAATTTATCTCAATCCTTAATTTGGGTATCAAAGGTAGTTGTGACATAGACAACATTAGTCTTTGAAAAGCATTTATATAATAGTAATATTGTGATGAATTGCTCCTTGTATATGCCTTTTGATCATTTTCCAAGAATGTAGGCTTTTGTTATATGGCAGAGAGGTAATACAAAAACGTGTCATATTATAGTGACACTTTAAGCCTTGTTGTAACTGTAAGCTTTTAATCTGACCTCTCATCCATAGGACCAAAGTCTCTAGAATGCTCACTTGGGTTTGTTACTTTGTATCAATCTCTCTCTGAACTTTTTAGCTCTCATCAGCAGTTCTTGTCCAATTTCTACAAAGTGGGCCGTTTGTATTGAATGTGCTAATGCTGTAGAGCCAATAGCTGTACTGGCTATCAAAAGAATTAGAGAAGAAATCTCTGCAAAAACCAACCCAAGCATCCTCGTAGTTTTCGAAAATACCTAGCAATACTATAACTCATGGGATAAATGAAAATATTTAGTTTTGATATGCTGTTATTAATCCTCTACATTTATCTTGATGATTTCCAGTGAGACAATATAATTAAGATTTCAACCTCTTATTTGTAATGATGCATGTTTTCCCATTACTTACCAATATGAATCAAAAAGACTTCCTGTAACTAAGAAATGTCTATATTCAAAAAAGATTGTCTCTCAAATTTCCTGCTGTTATATATTCACTGCACACTTGTCAAATTTATTGTTTATCTGCAAGACATATATCATTCAATTTGCAATTAAAAATTTTTACAATCTGTATTATACATTAATAGTTTCTTATAAATTGCTTAATTCCTCACACTATTTCATGGTGTAAGGACCATCACTGTTCTATAGTTCTCTTAGTTACTTATCTCGTTGTTGAGATAAAATATCTGACACTCACAAGTTAATGGAGGAAAGGTTTATTTCAACTCACAGTTTACAAAAGTTTCAGCCCATCGCAGGCAGCTCCAAAGCAGGCAGCCAGGCAGAGGAGAAACAGTCTATGGCAGATAGATTAGGCAGCAGCAGCAGCAAGCCTCCCTTTATACTCTACCCAGGCTACAGCAGACCCAGTGTGGGTCTCCCCCTTATCCACACCAAGAATTATACTAAATAAATTAGTGAACTAATCAAGCACTACACACCTTTAATCTCTGTGTCACACTCTTAATCATAGCCTAGATTCAGCTGCCTCTGAAACACCCCACCTACGATGGCATGAAGCTTTGTGAGGGATATCTAGATATTACCCATAACAATACTTAAGGAAACTATACCCATAACAATACTTAAGGAAACTACTATACTATAACAAACAATACTTGAGGCACATAAAAGGTAAGTACACTGGGTCAAATGTATCAGAAAGTGTCAAAGCTAGAATTGGGTCTGTTTTATCACTAGCAATGACCCTCCATAATCTCTTTGCTACTTACTGACATTAAATAGCAAAATGTGAACGAAAAAGAAACTTTAATGGTAAAAACAATAGTGTAGCAAACTATTTCTTCTCCAATTAGTGGTATCCATTTTTTCCCAATTCTGAGTTTATCAAGTGCTTTAATGAAATACACATTGAAAGTCATTTTCATGCCTCGTAGTGAATCAGGGAGCTGGTCACTCACCAGTTGTTCCTAATGTGGTCCTCCCTTTCTGCACATTTTTATTTTCAATTTAGTAAAGCCTGCTTGGTTGGTAATTTTGTTTGGTTTTAATCTGGAATCAAACCAGAACATTTTTTACATAGATTGTTTATCAGGTTAAAATTAAACAGTACTCATTGTGACTCAACAGAGAAAGTATCCTTAGAAGAAAAATCAATGAACTTCAAATAGAAAGTGATGAAATATGTAACCATATGTCTACAGAACTGCCAGAAGACTACTCTGAACAAAAAGGAAATGGGCTGACAGCAATCAAAATGGAACAAGAGTAAATCCAACCCATTATTTGCCTAGAACAGGCTATGCATATGAGAGACAGTTTCTGTTTTTCAGGTCATAGTTTCAGATTGTGAATTAATTCTGGCAAATTTCTTTTACATCTGCCTTTTCCAGACAGCATCCCTAACTCTTTTTCTATGCCAACTACAGTTTTCCCCTCTGTAGAAAGGAAATAAATTTAACACAATTATCGGAAAAAAGTTTACAGAAGAGTTTCACTTATTTGTTGCTTTGTGAGGCAACTGTAATTAACCCTGGTAGAATATTTGAATTTTTGACACTGTTAATGAAGTCTCAAGGCCAGTTGTGGTGGTACATGCCTGTAATCCCAGCACTTGGTAGGCTAAAGCAGGAGGATTGCCACAAGTGTGAAGCCAGTCTCTGCTGCACAGTGAATCCAAAGTGAGCTTGGATTACATAGTGAGACTTTGTCTCAACAAAAAATAATGTCTCAGTATTTCAGAAGCTTTATGTTTATTCAAACTATGTTTTGCAAAAGATAGCAAATATAGAGTATATGTGATATTTTGAAACACAATACTTAAACAATTTTTTCATAATTGACTTTACTGAGAAAAAGAGATGTGTAGCTGAACAAGACTAGTTATTAATATATTCATTGAACTCGAGAGAATGAATGTGTAGAAGTACCTCAACTGAAGAACCCACATAGCTGATCTCTGACTTGGAACACTGGATATTTGATTCTTGTCAGCAACATGAGGAAATGGAAAAAGAGTTAAAACTATTTTTCAGAGTATTCTGCCTGCACTGAGTTATGCTTTCCCAGAAAAATGGAATGTGCTTTAGTTACATGAATCGGTTTTATGGACTTGTTAGTCATCTCATGGAACATGAAATAATTGAACATAATGAATTCAAGCAAGTTAAAGCTAGTACATTTTTGGCATTCTGTACTAACAGAGCTCCATAGGACCTATCAACTTAGAAATCTTAAATAAAAGGAATTTCCGTTGTTTATCTGGCCATTCAGCCCTAAGTTACACTGTACAAAATTTTAATTATCTTCACTCTTTATAAATCCAGTAAATATTCCTTGTTTGTGGATGGATTGGAAAGGCACTTGGATCAAAATAAATAACTTTAGTTCAGGCATTTATTTTTCCAATTCCATCAAAACACAATTGCCTGCATAATGCAAAACTACATGCTTACTTTAAGATCTCCATCTTACTGATATTGCTCCATAGTTTGACACATTTGATCATTCCTTTTGGAAAAAAATGTCTTCACTTGGCTTCTAGGACATTTCTTTCTTGTAGCTTCTCTCTTTCTCCAAAATCTAAACCTCACTGCTGGATTCATTTTCACTTTTTTGACCTCCAAACTCAAAAGTAACCCTGAGGACAATTCTCTTCTAAAACAGGAATCTATTGCATTTCACAATTATAAATGACCCCTGGATACTAAGGTTTCCAAGTATATATCTCGTGCCCTGGTCTTTTC